TGACTGGGGCTGTGGCCTGAGGGAGAGGATCTTTGAAGGCCAGCCCGCTCACCTGGGGTCAGGCCCTGCCACCCCATGGGGGGAGGACATAAGCCCCGTGACGTAATCCCTCAGCGTTCCAGGAGACAGTGTGTATAAAGCGCCTGGAAGGCATCCGGGCATTTGGTTTTTGAGCGCCTGCTGTATGCAGCCACATTTGAGCGGACAAGAGAGAAAAAACTCTGCCCTCTGTGGAAAGAGACCAAAAGCAAACCATGCATAGTTAAGAGGGTCAGACGGATTATCCTTCACGTTGAGGGGAGTGGGGAGTTACGGAGAAGGCGGTCCAGCCAGGAAACACTCTCAGCGGAGGTGCTGTCTGCAGGAGTGTGGAGATGGGTGGGGTGTGCACAGTGGCTAGCTTCTCTGCCAGCAGAGGAGGTCCCTGGGTGCCGTGGCGCAGACAGGTTTATTCTGAGAGTGAAGAGAATGGTTTACCGTGTAGACTCAGTAAATCCAAGGTCTCAAGGTTCTCTTCCCTTTTTAAATTGTCTTCCTGCACACACCCCCATCCTTAAGCAATGGGACAGGATCTCCTGAGTGGCCCACTGTGGTTTGGCCCGGGACAGGTCATTAGTCTTTCCTCTAGCCTGATCTTTAGGACAAATTAGACCTCCTTTAATCAGTGTACCTATAAATTAGTACTAAATAGCGAAAAATAAACCACTTTGTGATATTGGGAATTTTGTAGACATCTGAGATTACTGCAGCTGTGATCTCGGTCCTTCCAATGCTCTGCCCGCAGACCCCGGTGGACAGATGATTACTGGTCTTCCTGGGTCACCTTGGCCTGAGAAGTTCAGCCGCTTTGGCTGTCAACACCTGTATGTTCTTTGCCTCTTAAAGTCATAACCAGGCGAGCTCTGATGGCCTAGTGGCAAGAAGCTGCACTTCAATCCCAGAGGTACAAGGTTCAAATCTACCAGATGCTCTGCTTTAGCGGGGGGGGGAGGGGCAATCTCCTCCTGTACCTCTCAGATCCGATTTGACAGCGCGCGCGCACACACACACATACACAAATAATAATAAGAAAAACGTCATAGCTAGGATGATGAATCATTTATCAGATACCCCACTGGCAGCTCATTGTAGAGGAAGAACAAAGCATATAAACAAGATAAATCTGTGTCAGGAGACGTTCTCTACCAGTGCGATGAACGTGATGACAGTTGACAGGACTGGCTTCTGAGGGAATAACGTTAGATTTCACTGTCACTGACCGTCTGAGCCAATCATAGGATGACTCTCCCTGTTCTCATCAACTTTCCAGAAGCTTGCTTTCCGTTTGTCAGGCCTCATAAATGAGCAGTGAAAGGTACTATTTCTTTACCTTTTCTGATTCCTTTTATTACTGAATTTGAGAAGCTTTTGTTTTTAAGATATTGTATCATTTTCTTGTTTATTTCTCTTGGTAAGCTTCCCAAACATCTGAGAAATACAGATTTGTGTAAAACAAATATTAACCAGTTCTTTGCCATGTTCAAGTCTGAGTGGTGTATAAAATTTTTTTCCACATATAAATGTTTCCATGTTAAGGTATTATACTGTGTATAATCCCCTTAAACCTCCATACATGTGACTGGTATCTGTTGATGCAGCATACCTGTCTGTCATCACCTTCTGTGCAAATGGAGAGCAGTGCCCAGCCGTCCCCTCTGACAGCCCTTCCTGCTCGTGAAGATGGCTGTTCAGTTTCTCCCTCACCTTCTCTCCTCTGAACTAAATCATACCTTCACCTGATCACCGAGGCTCTCATTTCCCACCTCTGTCATCATCTCCTGGTTGTCTTTTTTCCCCACACTATTCATTAAATGTGGATTCCAAATGAGAATAACGTAAGTTTCACATGAACTGGGATTGCGTCCTCTTCCTGGCCCCCAGATGTCACTGTCATTCATATGAATAATGTGATTTTTATCAACATCCAAAAAGATGAAGAGGACTAAAGTTACAAACTATGGCTAACATGAAGAAGAATCAGAATCCCAGAATAACTGTGCTCATGTGAAACCTGTACCTAGACCAAGAAGCTGTCGTCTGAATAGAGCAAGGGAACACTGCATGATTTAAAGTCAGAAAAGGTGTACCTCAGGGTTGTATCCTTTCTATGTATCTATTCAATCTATATGCTGAAAAAAATCATTTGAGAAAGCGGTCTCTGACAGTGAACCTGACATCAGGATTGGAGGAAAACACATCAACCACCTGTGCTATGCAGATGACACAACCTTGCTTACTAAAAGTAAGAAGGACTTGAAATACTGCAGTGGATCAAAGACTGCAGTTTTCAATATAGATTGCATCTCAACATCCAGAAGACAAAAGCCCTTATCAGGGAATCGATAGGCAACATCATGATAGATGGAGAAAAGGTTGAAATTATCAATGATTTCCTCTTACTTGGATCCACAGTTGACACCCTTGGTACTAGCAGTCTGGACATAGGAGACATACTGCTTCCGGCAGATCCACTGTGAAGAATCTCTCCAATGTTGTGAGGAGTAATGGTGTCAGTTTGAAGACTAAGGTGCACCTGCTTCCGGCCATGGTCTTTTCAGAGTTACACATCTGAGAGATGAACAGTGAATAAGGATGACAGAAGAAATGTGGTACTGGCTGAAAGCACTGAATGAATATCTCATGGACTGCAAAAAAAATACTAAACCAGATAAGTCTTGGGAAAAGTGCAGCCAGAGTGCTCCTTAGAGGCAAGGATGGTGAAACTTTGTCTCACGTGTTTTGTGCATGTTTTTAGGAAAGGCTGTTCCTTGGAGAAGGACATCATGTTTGGAAAGGTGGAGGGTGAGCGAAAGAGAGGAAGACCCTGGATGAGATGGATTGATACAGTGATTGCAGCATGGGCTGCAGTGTGTCAGAGATGGAGATGGCACGAGAGAGGACAGGGTTCAGATCTACTGTTCATAGGGATTGCTGTGGGTCATATTCAACTCTTTGGCACCTAACAACGCAAGGTTCCTTTTACATTGAGCTGGGTCTTGGCTGCAGCTACTGGTTATAATGTTTGAAAAATTAAGAAGCACACATTCTGGGTCTCTTCTAATAATAATTGGGAGGCCCCCCAAAGTCCAGCCTCCCAATTCTGGGTTAGGTGATTACTCTGTTGTATAGGAATCTCTCTCCTAGGATTGGATTTCTGGGTTCTCTCTAAACCACCTGCAGTGCACATGAAAACTCTTTGCTTTTGCTCTTCCTACCCAGCCAGTTTTCTTTGAATGGTTGCAAAGGAGAGAACTGCCCCGTTTTGAGAACTAGAGGTGCAGCGTGTGGTAAGACAGCCCTAGTCAAAGACCAGCTCACTTGGTTAAAATTCCAGGCTTCACTGGTGTCACTCTCTACCCTTCTTCCCCCTCTACTTTCCCCACATGCTTACATCCCTGGGTTGGGAACGCTGCTGGGGTGATTTTCAGAGTCAGGCTCCTAACGGCAGGCAGGCAGCCCGGCCAAGGATTTCCATGGCTCGTTTCAGCAGGAGCTCATGCCCGCGCCAGGCACTCCGACTCGCCCTCCCATGCCAGCTCCTGCAGGAAGCAGCTGTTCTGACCTCAGTCTTGGCCAGCCGCGTGAGCCTGAGCAGGTGCCGGAAGGAGGCCAAGAAGAAATCCTCAGTCCGTGAATTGTTAGATAGAAAAACCAGTGTGTGCTGTAAATCTTCAGAAATCACAATTAAAACGTCTCAGAAAGCAAATTTTAATAATTGACTGTTGGCCATTTGGTCCCATGTAGATGGTTTTTTTAAAAGAGGAACTCAGAAGAGTCTTGACCAGAACATTTGCCTGGTAAAGCTTCAGTTAGCCTGGCCATCGGGAAACCACAGACTAGATGGCCAAGAGGCGTATCAATAATAATAGAAATCCTTGTATTTTTTTCCCCCTCTCTCCCTCATTAAACAGTGGCTTCAATGTACGTTATAATTTCCCTTGTGCTTTGGAGAAAAATAATGTGCAAGAAGGGACCATTCCTTGGAGAGGGACTTACAAGGGTGGAGAAGAGAGCACGAGAGAGGAAGACACTCAATGAGATGGACTGACTCGGTGACGGGGGTAGTGGGGTTACGTGTGTCAGAGACAATAAGGTTGACTGAAGATAGAGCAGGGTTCAGAGCTGTTGTTCGTCACAGGGTTGCTGTGAGTCGCAGACAACTTGACTGCACATAACGATAACAACAACAATGTAAATTCCACATTGCAACCAAGATGGATGACTGGACGAACACTGGGACCATTTTGATTAAAGACTCACTTAGCTAATGTCACAGTGACACACTATGGGAAACACTGGCCACTTGTAATTGGGTATTTCTGGTTGCAGAAAGGTGTATGTCCATGGCCTGTGTCCCTGGGTCACTGATAGCCAGGTGGATTCAGTGCTTATTAATCACTAGGAATTATATGTGTATGCACAGTTAAGAAAATCTAGAAGGTGAAAATTTAAAACATGGAGGAAAGAACCTACAGTTTTCCCCCCCTTAAAGAGGGGGTGAAGAGACTTGGAGCCCCGGAAACCACATAGTTAACTGACTGCTAGTCAGAAGGTCATGGTTAAAACCCTCAGCTGCCCAGCAGGACAGTTGAGGTCATGTGCGTCCCTCCCTAGAGCACAGCCTGGAAGCCTCCGAAGCCGTTCTGCACCGTCCTGCAGGGTCACTGGTAGGTGATGTCACCTCTGCTCTAGTGGGTCTGGGTTAATGACACTTGAGGTGCAGTGGTGTGGGTAACACTTGACCACATTTACCAGCTTGGATTTGAGGTATGTGCAGACATGGTGTCATCTCGAAGGAGAGTTGGAGCAAGCTCAACTGTCTGTTGCTAAGGGTATATTCACGTGTCACTGAGCAGTTACTATTCGGCAGGTCCACGGACACACACACCCCGGCTGTAAAGGACACTGGGCTTCCACACGGAGATAGTGCCACTGGTAACGTTTCTCTCTCTATTTCCTAGTCCAACAGGCAGCCAGCTAAACTGAACCTCCTCACCTGCCAGGTGAAACCGAATGCCGAAGACAAGAAGTCTTTTGACCTGATATCACGTGAGTCCCTTTTCTCTCTCGGTTATATTCTGACGGTCATACACTTCCATCTCTGGCTGTTCTCAGCAGACTTCCCAGGCGGGCTCCTTGGAGAGGGCCCTGAGGCTCACGTCATCCCTGTCGCTCACTGGACCCACCTGTAGGTGCAAAGTCAAGCCAGGGCCAGGTTTAAATAGGAGTCATACAGAATCTAGATTTCTACCTTAAACTAGACCAGGTTCGTCTACAGATTCACAGCTTTATTCCTGTGGAGGGAGTTTTCCAAACATATCCCCACCTTTCTCCTCAATCTGTTAAATCACAGTCTTTGATGGGAGGCTCAGTGAGATCTGTGTAAAGTCCCCCAGTGAGCCTGTGTGCGCACACACAAGAAATAAGCACATGCCATGGCCTGGGAGTGCAGAGTTACAGCCTCAGAACTGGGCTCTTGAAAGGAAGATCGTTTCCCCATCTCCAAGCAGAACTGTCCTTGGACTTGAGGACCGATGGCACTTTGTTCCATCCCTCACGTGTTCCCTGGTCCCCTGTGAAGAGACACGTCTCCTGTAGCCCATGTTCTCACAGCACTTGGAGTGGAAGGAAGATGTTTGCTCCCTGTGTCTGCATGCAGACTGACTCCCAAGGGTGCACTTACTTAGTCACTGGCCTGGACGCTTGAGCTGATACCAGAGATTGCCCATCTTTGTCCTATAGAGAAGCTGGTGGATTCAAATTACCTTCCTTGAGTTATTAGCTCCACTCCTTAACCACTCGGCCACCAGAGCTTTCCCAGAGAAGGAGGTGGTGGTGGTGGGTGGTGATGATCGTGTACTGTCGAGTAGGAACCAGTTCCTAGCTGACCCTCCAGTGGGTTCTCAGGCTGAAAATCACACAGGAGGAGATTCCCATCTTCTGCAGAGCGGCGGACAGATCCAACTGCCTACTTTTAGATTGGCAGCGTAACTCTACCACTAGGCTACCAGGTCTCCCTAAGAAAAGGGGAGCACTGCTGACATCGTGGCTCCCAAAGGCCCCGGAATGTGGCCGCGATGGCCTGGAGTTTGCTCCCTCAGAGCCCAGCAGGGCGGACCAGCAGATGAAGAGAAGGCTCTGTGCAGAAGCCCCCTTCCCTGCCCTTTGACTTCTCATGCATTTGTGTGACTAGAAAGCTCACTAGTAGTCCTGACCCAAGTGATGGAATCAGCCATGAGATTGCGGGATGGAGCTGAGCTGGATTCTGTACCTTCGACTGAAGTTCAGATTCCCTGCTGTATAGGAGATGAGAAGGTGACCAGGAAATTTGGAATCATGATGTCAATGCTAGCTTTGGGAGCCTGCAGGTTACAGACGACGGTCGGCAGTTAGTGACAGAGCTTTGAAGCAGTCATGCCTGTGGAGCTGAAACCAGAACCAGTGGAAGTACAGGTTGAAGCCCTGGAATGAGAAACTCAGAGGAAGAGTAGCAAGCCCTTTCAGGAGCGTGTTGTATGATGGACAGTAGAGAACGGAGAGCATTCAGAGGCCTGTGAGTGGCCGCCGCCTTTGAGTCGGACACATTTTCAGCACAGCCAGTCAGGAGACTCGGTTGTTTGAGGTGCTCATCCCGCCCTTGTTTTCAAAGACGGAGGTCAGGTTTCTGTTGAGACTTTGACCTCTTTGCTCATTCTAGTTAATGTCACCACATTGTGAAAATTAAAGTTCCTTCTAGTGTTGCTTTGTTGACTATAACTGAATTAGGCTGATTGGAAGCCCTGGTTAATGAGCCACTGATAGGTGTTGAGTGGTTTACTTCGTTAGACTAAGCCTCACAAAAACCCTGTCTTTTAACAGAATGGAAAACTGAGGCTTAGAGAGACTGAGTACCTGACACAAGGTCAAACAGAAATAAAGTAGAGATTCAAGGCCAAGGCTTTCTGGCCCTGCTACCCGTGCTGTCCTCGGGCCACCTTTCTCTCTCTCTCGGACCTGAGTGTGGCAGCACCGAGCCTGGAGCTGTCACATCACAGATGCTCGTGAACTGTTCATTTGACCCAAATCTGCTGAAGTGTTCTAGCCACCTACCATCCTATGTGCGGTAAAACCGCAGACCCGTATGAGACAGAAACAAACCCCAGGAAGAAAAATGCAAATATTTTCCACTAACATGAGCAGAAGAAAATGTGGTACCGGTCTTCCAAGTTTCATCCTTCACACCTGCCTGGTGTATCCAGGTCAGGCCCTCCATTCCTCACCAGGGATCCAAGTGAGCAGAGGTGAGGCCCTTCCCACCCACAGCCTCAACCCCCTCAAAGAACACCCAGCTTGCAAAGCCTTACGGACATCTGGGCCCCAAAAAATAGCGCTAGTGAATGAAGCGTACCTAAGGCAGATTTGTTTTAAAGGAAGCACTTAGCCAAAGACACCTCGTGAGAGCAACAATTCCTGATTGACACATGGCACACTCTAGTTTGTCTCTGAAATCTGTTTTGTTCAGGTAGAGCCTCCCACTTTCCTGCTTCTTCTGCCCCTCCCCACAGGAGGCACAGTGTTTACATGGTACGTGCAGTTATTTCATTGTGTTCCTCTTCAGAACATCCTGACAGAGTGAGTTGCGTAGCTGCTGATGCAAAATGGTGTAAACAAGAATTGACACTAAAATCTAAAATCCTTTTACAGTGTTTTATTTAAAAATATACCTCCTACCTGAAAATGCTCTGCTTTCTAAAGTTTTACTTTTCTTTTTTGTGTGTTTTAGATAATAGGACGTATCACTTTCAGGCAGAAGATGAGCAGGATTATGTAGCGTAAGTAGCTTTGGAGTCGTAGTGCCAGGCACGAGTGGGAAAGTACTCCCTCCACACAGCCCAGCTGCCCCACACCACCCCGCAGAGCCCACCTGTCCCACAACACCCTGCACACTCACTGCCCTTCACAGCCCCCCAGCTTCACAGCCTCGCACGGCCCTCCTGCCACACACCCTGCACGGCCCTCCTGCCACACACCACCCTGCATAATGCTCCTGCCTCACAGCCCTGCACAGCCCACCTGCCTCACAGCACCACACAGCTCCCCTACCTCACACCACCCTGCACAATGCTCCTGCCTCACAGCCCCGCACAGCCCTCCTGCCTCACACCCTTCACAGTCCTCCTGCCTCACACCACCCTGCACAACGCTCCTGCCTCACAGCCCCACACAGCCCACCTGCCTCACAGCCCCACAAAGCCACGCATGGCTCCTCTGCCTCACACCACCCTGCACAACGCTCCTGCCTCACAGCCCCGCACAGCCCTCCTGCCTCACACCCTTCACAGCCCTCCTACCTCACACCCGCCCCATCACTGCTCTGGCTCCATGCTTCCTTGTCTCTGGGCTGTGACACATCGTTCATCTCTGGCCAGGGTTTCCTCCTTCATGTTTTCAGTAAACTCATTCTCCCTCCACTTCTCTCAGGAGTCTGCTCAAGTGTCAGGCCCTGGGAAGCCGGGTAATTGTTCCCCTCCTTTGCTCCCACAGGCTCTGTTATGCTCTTCTGATTCTCTAGTGTGTCTAGAGACCACGAGGTCCTTGAGGGCATGCTCTGTGCTTACTGGGCTTTGTAATCCCAGCGGTTCTGGTTGTTGTTAGGTCCCCTGGAGCCAGCTGTATGCACAGCAGTGTGACACAGCCCTGCCGGCTCCTGCCCCTCCTTCCAGTCTCGTTTAAAACAGCTTGAGCTCATAATTGCAGCTCCTGGGTCCATCCGTCTTGTTGAAGCTCTTTTTCTCTCTGGCTGGCCCTCTGCTTTCCCATGCATGATGTCCTCCTCTAGGACTGGCTTCTCCTCATAACATACCCAATGTCTGTGAAACCAGGTCTCACCATCGTGCTTCTAAGGAGCCTTCTGGTCGCCCTTCTTCCAAGATAGTTGTTCAACTTCAGCCGGGAGGCACTTTCTCAGTACTCTGTGGCCAAATCCATGAGCCAAGCTCCCTGGGTACAGGATTGTTCCCGTGACAGGGGACCTCAGGCTGGTCCAGACAGGTTGCTCAGCTGATCGATCAGCTGCCAGTCAAAAGGTTGGAGGTTCAAGTTTAATTAAAAGCACCTTGGAAGAAGTCATGAGCTTCCCCAAAACTTGGCCCTTGAAGACTCAGTGGAGCAGTTCTGCTCTGAGCCACGTGAGTTTGTCCTGGGCCAGCAGCAGCTGCTTATTGTGAGAGGAAAGGAACTTGGCCACAAAGTGAAGAATATTGGTGAATGCCACTTGCTGGGGTGAGCAAGGCTGTTCTAGGGTGTAGTGAGAAGAGCTCCAGGGTTTAAGCTTTGCAGTTACCTGCCCAGGTGCACAGCCGTGTGCACCGCACCCCTCCCCTGCCTCTTTAGACAGGTCTGTGGTCCTGCGTTGTCTCTTCTTACTGCAGTTTACCAGGATTCAGAATGACAGGATGTGGATTGAAATAGCATTGCATTCTAACAGATACAAATAATATCCTTTCAATGGTATTTCCCAGTGACTCTGAAAGACCTTTTGTGTGTTGTGAGCTCTTAGTTTAAGGGGCAAATGTGATGTAACAGGCAGAGCAGTAACGAGGACATCGACGATCAGACAGAAGTACTCCCCCCACTTCTGACAGGCCCGGCTCGGGGCCCTTGTCACACCACTCAGCCTCTCTCCACTTCCGTTTCCTCATCTGGAAAGTATTTCAATTACCAGTGTGTTGGGGGAATGTAGGGACTTGGAGAGTTATATCTCAGAAAAAGTCACTCCTCAGAAAGAGTAAATACTTGGCACATAGGAGGTAGACTGGTCAGTGTTGTTGCTGTGTTGCTATCTGCTCTTGCATTGATTTCCATATTTGCGAGTCAAAATGTCGTGCTGCCTGGGGAGAACCGAAAGCTCCAAGTGTAAAATCCTGGAGTAGTTGTGTCACTGATACAAACAGTCCACAGTCAGCCCTGCTACATCCCTGGGTCTCTTGAATTGTTTTGTTTAGTTTTCAACTTAAATAATATTAAAAATAATACTTGCCTTTTTTCTTTTTTATTGAGATTTTAATGAAAGTTGATAAAGAACTTGGGTTTCTAATTATTCATTGTTGCACATTTTCCTCCCTGCCACCCCAGATCACTTTTTTCTTTGGGTAAAAAGTTCTTTCATTGTTATACAGTTCCCCCCACCACCACCACCACCACCAGGCCCTTTTATTCAGCTTTTATTCTGGACTCCTGTCGTGTCAGTAATACCTAATTATATATTCCTTTTATACAGTTCTCTCCCTCATCTGTTTCAATGCTGTGTAGGTTATTTATCCCCTTTTCTTAGTTTTCCCCCAGCCCCCATGTCAGTCCTATTTTGTAACAGCGGCATTATACCGTTTATGTCTTCTTGTGACTGAGATACTTCACTCAGCATAATGTCCTCCAGGGTCACCATTTTTGTGTAAAAATTCAAGAGTTTGTTTTTCAGTGCAGCTTAGTATCCATCGTGTGAATATACCAGAGCTGCTCTGTTTGTTGATGGGCACTTGGGTTGTTTCCATCTCCTTTCTATAAACACAGCCTATATAAATATGGATGTGTGTATATCTGCTTGGGTTGCAGTTATGGTTTCTTTAGGGTATATTCTCAGTAGTGGAATTGCTGGGTCAAATGGTATTTCTGTTTGCAACTTTTTGAGAAAGCTCCATACTGCCTTCCATCGTGGTTGCACCGTTTTACACTCCCACCAACAGTGAATGAATAAGGCTTCCAGTTTCTTCACAGCATTTGTTGTTTGCTGTTCTCTTCAGTTTTGCTATTATTACTGGGTTGAGATGATATCTCATCGTTGGTTTGAATATTTGCTTTCACAGTTCTTCTTTACCCCTGTTTCTAGACTGCTGATTTTGAAGCATTGCAACTTTTGCCTCACAGAGTAGAAACCTCCTGGCGGTGAGCTCCACCTAGCGTCAAAGGTGTGACTTGCAGTTCATGTGCTCAAGGAGTTGGATTTGGTTTTCTGTTCCCCTAGCATTTCTTACTGAAAGCCTTTTCTAGCTTGTGCTTTGTTTTGCGTCTCTTTCATCCCACAAAGCACAGCAGATATAAATGCTTGGTCCAGAACATCTTTATGCTTTGTGGACAGTTGCTGTCAGGGTATGTGTAGTAGGTGAGAACAAAGTCGTCTTGGGCCCAGCAGAAGGAAACCCCTCCGATCCGTCAGCATCCTCTCGGGCTCTGCTGTACTTTGTCCCATTGTTCAGGCTGTCAGCTCCTCTTGTTGAGAGGCTTCCTTTCCATTTGTAGGGACTGCCTAAAGGATGGGGGTCCAATCTCACCATCCTTGCTTACTTACAAGGAGCACTCAGGCTTCACTCCTTTTTTTTATTATTATTAAATTTTATTAGTTTTAATGAACATTTACAGGGATTTTGGGTTTTCATTCCTTCATTGCTGCACCATTCTCTCTACCCTCCTCCCCAGTTTGTTCTTCTTCCCCCACCCTCCGAATGTCTGTTTTAATTGTCAGGCTTCACTTCTTTCAGGAAAGTATTGGTTGTTGTTTTGGCAATGCACCATCTAGTCAGTATTCATCAGTTCACATCACAGCTCAAAATACCAGTTCTCCTTTTATCATCTTTGTTCATTGTCCAACTCTCTCATGGATGTGAAACAATTGAAAATCCCATGACTTGGATCAGGCGCACCTCAGTCTTGAAAGTGACATCCTTGCTTATTTAGCATTTCAGAAAGGTCCTTTGCTGCAGATTTGCCTGTACACGGTTCACACTCCTGATTGCTGTTTCCCTGGGTGTTGGTTGTGGATTGTCGTATAATGAAGGGCTTGGCAGTTCCCGTGTGCCCTCTGACCACAGTGTTGCTTCTTGGCTAGGTTGTGAGGGTCCTTGTTTTCTTTGATCTTCAGTCAGTGCCTTTAGTCCTCCGTCACCGTGCGCAGCACTCCTCCCGCAGGATCCCCGAGTCAGCGTGAACTCCGTGCACCCGGCTTGGGGGGTGGATGCCAGGTTAATGACACAGGGTTTGTTTGGTGCGTGTTGCGATCACACTGTTGGTTATCACTTAGTAGCCTGCACTTTCCATTTCATGTTAAGTTCTCCTCCTGACAGTGGATTAGAGGAAACAGGCCGTTTTCTGTGCTTCCCTTTTAGCCCTCTACCCATATCTCAAGCACTTCTTTGTCATCTTGTGTCAGGTGGGACTGTGGGGACCCGCTCTGCGTCCTCCTGATTCCTTGCCCCCGTCATTCCATCCAAATGGGCATGTGACACATCGTGGATTTGTGCTGGGGCCTTAAATCAGCTCATTACTCATCCATCCCCCTGCTGAAAATGGACATGCCCATCCCAGACGCACTGAATCAGAATCTTCTTTTTTTAAAAAAAAAAAAAAAATTTTGTGTGCGTGTACCGTCAAATCAGATCTGACTGGTACAGGAGGAGATTGTCCCTCCTTCCCTGGCAGAGCATCTGGTGGATTCGAACCGTGCGCCTCCGGGATTGTAGTTGCAGCTCCTTGCCACTAGGCCACCAGAGCTCCCCAGAATCTTCATTTTAAGAAGATCTGTAAGAAGCGCCTGTTGTTAATGAGGGCCGTCAAGTCCAGGTTGGGACCGGAGTCCAACAGCCCAGCCCTACCCCGTCCTCCCAGCTGCTGTTGTGCCCGAGCCCCTTGGCAGCACCTGGGCATCTGGTTGGACTCTAGATTCCAGGTCCTTATTTCTGGGACAGCAAGGGACATGCACATTCTCAGCAGGAGTTTGAACCAGAAGGGACTGGTTCAGAGCCCAAATGTGTGCACATCGTCAGTTACAGACACATTTTGTGTTCTCCCATGTGCTGCTTTCAGCTCTGTAATCCTTTCAAGTTTAAACTCTATCATTTTTTAATTTATTTTTCTTTTATTATTTGTGTGTGTGTG